GATTCAGGAAACAATTACACCCCTCTCCTCCCCCCCTGACTTCTGTCCAGCACGGGCTGTCAATCAACATGGTCGCACTGGGAGAAGGAGCAGCCTATCATGGGCCGTACACTGACCCACATCCCTCCTCTCGGAGCTGCGTGATTGGCCACATTGACCAGTCTGTCAAAGAGATCTGGAAAAACTGCTGCCGCCTGGGGAATAACTGGCCCTGATACTGTACCAGCCTGGGTGTGTTGTTTAAGAGAGAGGGGGAGGGAGGTGGAGGGAGGGGACAAAGGTTTTATTCTGATGGAGGCTGGAACAAACGGCCTCCGTGGGACAGACACAAACGAGAAAAGGAAAAAAACAGGGAGCCAATGGGAATGTGGTCGGAGACGAGGAATGAGGAGGAAAGGAAAGGAAAGGAAGCTAGGAAACTGACAGTAGGAGACGGAAGAGTGGAGGAAACGAGTCGTTGACGCTGGTGTCCACCAGACCATAATAGTACAGCTGACGGTGGACGGCTGTGTGGCTGTTCACAGTACAGCAGCGGTCTAATACCTTTGTACCAAAGACCAGTCAACTGGTATCAGCCGTTACTGTGGACCAGTAATACCGTACCATCGTCGAAGGATCATTAGATTTTCAAAATAAAACATCTTTTTTAGACTTTTTTTCTATTAGTATCAGAGTCTAAATGACCTTTGACCTGTTGTTTGGAAACATTGACAGATTATCTTTAAAAAAGTGTCCCACTGCGGCCTGGAAAAAAATGACCTACGGACCATCAGAGCGACAGATTATTTTCACTATGGCCCTGAAAAAAATGACCTACGGACCATCAGAGGGTCCCCGGACCAGAGGTTGGAGAGCCCTGCATTACAGCTTAATCACGACTGTCATCACAGTCGGCCGCTGTCAGGTCACGTGACATCACACACACAACCAGCTGTGTTGTCAATACATGTGTTTGTATGAACTTCCCTGGTCCTGCAGATGGAGGCGCTGTCCCCAGCTTTTGTCAGGTGTTTGTTCTTCTCATCTTTTGTTCTTTAAAGTTTGATCTTTGTTTGTTGAATTCAGAAAAAGTCTGGAGAAAAAAAACCCCCAAAAGTCTGGAGTTTGGACAATAAATAAAATAAATAAAATATTTTCTGTGGATAAAAGAAACAAACGGAGCGAGAACACTGTGCTGCCGTGTGTGTGTGTGAGTGTGTGAATAGTTAAGCATCGGTGTAAATATTTGTTTATAATCTCATCACCATCATCACACTTTTTTTTTTCTCCTCACTGTTCCACTTCCCTCCCCCGTTTCCTCACCCCTCCTGTCTGACTTATTTACAGTAGACTCTTAAAAAAAAAAAAAAACCCTCCGTGACAGGAAGTTGAACACACGAGGATTCACGTGTTACTCTTCTTCTGTTTGTTTGCCAGGTTTTATAGGAACTTCTGTCTTTGATTTTTCCCTCCACGTGCATCAAATAAATGACCAACTGTCATTTTGTACCACGAGAACAAATACTGCAGTAATGTGTATCTGAAAACACACTCTACTGTAGTTAATCTTCACTGTAGAATCTGGACGTGGTGTCTGTGATGCTGAGGCAGGTCATGTGATCATGTGATCTCCAGGTGATTGGCTGAGTGCAGTTTAGATTCCACTTCATTAGTGAAGACGGGAATATTTCCCCACTGGGCAGTAAAGTGATCAGAAGTTCCTGATTTCATCTTGTACCATTAGGGGGCGCATGTCTGTTTGTTGACCTTTGACCTCACGGAGGTCTGTTGTCAGTCTGCTGGTAGCGGGAGCCTGTAGACGTGGAGAAGATCAGCGGTGTCCTCACTCCATGAGACGCCACTGTGTCTGTCCGTGTCCTGCTGCTCTCTGATTGGCTGATTCTGAGGCCTAAGTGTAGACCAGCCTTTCGGCCGGTATCAGGTACTGCGACCTATGGACCGGCACCGGTCCCTGCCCCTGGGGTTGGGGACCCCTGAGTTAGTTGACATCCTTTACTTATGGGCCACACGGTGGTCAGGTGGTTTGTGTCCCTGCTTCACTGGGAAAGGGGGAGCGGTTCGATCCCCAGCTGTAACTGATCATACAGAGATGAAGTAGCTGTTCACTCTGTTGGTGTGAATCTAAGTGTGAATGTTTGTAGCCCTGTGATTGGCACAGACATGAAGGAGTAGCTGTTCACTCTGAACTGACTGTTGGTGTGAATGTTTGTAGCCCTGTGATTGGACGGTTTCTTTTTTCTTTTTTTCCTGGCGGCCCGGTACCGGTCCCTGAACCGGGGGTTAGGGAACCCCTGGGGGTGCACTACCAGTATAGTATTTTATTAAAGTGGACCAGCACAATAATTGGACAGCGTGGATGTATTTGTGTGTGTGTGTGTGTGTGTGTGTGTGTTTTCTCCTGACATCCATATGCAGGTCACTCTCTAAGAGCTTCAGTTTCCCCTAATGGCCTAAACTTAGAGGAAACACAGGCACCTGCAGTCTTTACACACACACACACACACACACACACACACACTCTGTCTCCGAACGCTCCCTCTGCTTTTTATTGCTCTGGTATGTGTAAGCATGCTACACACACACCCCCTCCCGCCCCCTGCTGCGTGCAGGGTTCACAGTAACGGTGTGTGTGTGTGTGTGTGTGTGTCTCTCTCTTGCCTGAGAGGACTCTGGGAGTCTAAATAAAGCTCCGTGTGCTTGGCTAATGAAACACGCCGTATTCCCCGCGGTCTCATCAAGAAAAATGGGCTTTTATTAGACGCAGAGTTACCAGTGCATCTAGGTCTTGTCTGACATCCCCAAACTTTTTTTTTTTTCTCTTCTTCTTCGCTGTCCCTAACCACATACGCCGCGGTCCCTGGTGACGGCTGGTCCATCTGGTCACGACAGGCGCCAGGTTCATTTACATGAAGTCGAAGAAACAACAACAATAAAAAAACAAAAAAAAAATTGGAGAGAGAGAGAGAGTTACTGAGAGAACACGAAGTCACAGAACAGTTTTGACTCTTTGTCCCAAATGCAGACTTCCGTCTGCATTTGGGACAAAGAGGCAAAGTAGAAGGGTGGAGTCGAAAAAAGTTCCGTGATAAGATACTTGATGATCAGAGTCTGGTTCTAATCCAGCCTGACTGAAAGTCAAAAAGTAAAAAAAAAAAAAAAAAAATCTTAATTCATAAAAATATATTTTTCTACATCTCCTAAGTGATGTAATGATGCTTCCATTAGGTCAAAGGTCAACCTCCAGAATCGTCTGATTGGAAACACCTCATGACTTTTCTTTTTCTTCTTCGTTGACTTCTGGTTCCCGTCCTGTACAGCAGGTGTCACTAGACTGAACCAATGAGTTCT